TTGCTCAGGCTGGTCTCGAACTCCTGAGCTCAAACAATCCACCCGCCTCGGCCTCCCAGAGAGCTAGGATTATAGGCGTGAGCCACCGCGCCCGGCCTAATCTTATGTTTTTAATGTGGTGAGAGGATGGAATCTTAACTCACTGTTTAGTAACATGAATGATTATATTTTCAGTTTATTTCTACTCAGAAAAAATACATAAATACCTTTTAAAAAGCCACATTTTAACATATATTAAAATCTTATAAATTTCTTAAGCATCTTTTTTAAAAAAGAATTTTTATTTTTAGAAATGTGCTATTTTTGCAACTTTTCTGTAACTATAGAAGTTTATGCATATTTTTATCCGGTTTCTGCTGTTAATGTGAAGAATCTGTTTTTAATCTAATTTTGTGTGATGTGCCAAAGTTTGTGCTTTATTGAGTTCTTTGCTCAAAAAAAATTCCCAGATTTTACACTATGCTAACTGATTCAGTTTTTAAAAATGTAAATCGAGTTATTGATGTATGTATCAGAAAGACACTTATCGCAAACATAAAATTCAGTGACCTAAACTATTAGCGAAGATGTTCTGTACCCCATGATCACAAAGTTTACATATTCTTGACATAATCAAAACATGTTGATTAATCACTTCTGCCTCTTTTTACTTCATAGATGTAAAGAATCTATATCCATCATCATCTCATTATACAAGAAATTGGGATAAATTGGTTGGTGAGATCAAAGAAGAAGAAAAGAATGAGAAGTTGGAGGGAGATGCAGCTTTAAACAAATTATTTCAGCAGATCTATTCAGATGGTTCTGATGAAGTTAAACGTGCCATGAACAAATCATTTGTAAGAACATAAATTTTTTCTCAAATATTACGAGAGCAAATTAGACATTTTAAAAGAAAAATTGGGTAATGTGAGACCAAATTGCAATGTACTACAGCTGGGAGACCCTCTGAATAGGCTTTCCCTGAGCATTTCTTCTTGTTCTAAACTTAGAGTAATTGTTGAGGAAGTTGAAAACTCATGGAAGAGATGAAAAACAGGTGACTTATTCCAAATAAATATTTTTTATCCATGAGTTATAACTTGGAAGGCTAAGAAATTACCAAGGTTACATACAGTGATTGATATGGAGTTATCTTAGTTGAATATAACATAGTAGCTGAATGAGTTTCCATTGTTCACCTTCTGGAATCATATATAGTCCCAGTGTCAGAGATGAAGAATATAGAAGAGAAACTTCCAGAGCAGTGTTTGGCAAGTAGAAGGTACACATCAGTATTTATTGGTTTAATAATTCCTCTTGAAGATAATTCAGGCTTTTTGCCAGGACAGCATAAGTACCACTTGAGTTAGGCCTTAAGTTTTGAGATTTTCATTCTTGTAGAACTATGTAGATTATTTTGATTGAAGATGTAATCATTTAGAGCCTGGGAGGATTGCTTGAGTCCAGGAGTCTAAGACCAGCCTAGGCAACATAGCAAGACCCCATTTCTTTTAAAAAAAAAAAAAAAAAGAGGAAGATAGAAGCATTTGACTTTTACTAGTAGCTCTGGAAATGTCATGCTCTCCTTTTAAGGGATTCATGTTCACAGTTGAAACTTAAAATTAATATTTAATAATTTGATATGTAGTTAATAAGTGCGGTTCTGGCTCAGATATTCCACATATATAACTGGTCATGATTGTGCTTTTCATTAGTGGTTTAAAATTTTTTGATTAAACTTTTTTTTGAGACAGAGTCTCGCTCTGTTGCCCTGGCTAGAGTGCAGTGGCATCATCATAATTCACTGCAACCTCAAACTCCTGAGCTTAACTGCTTCTGCTGCCACAGCCTCCCGAGCTGGGACTGCAAGTGCACACCACCACACCCTGCTAATTTTTCTAATTTTTGTAGAGACAAAGTTTTGTTCTTGCTCAGGCTGGTTCTCGAACTCCTTGCCTCACATCCTCCCACCTTGGCCTTCCAGAGTGCTAGGTTTACAGACGTGATTCACTGGGCCTGGCCTGCGTTTTATTTTGAGATAATTATAGATTCACATGCAGTTGTAAGAAATGAGATTCCTAGTACTCTTTACACAGTTTCCTCCGATGGAAACATCTTGCAAAATTATAGTACAGTATTGCAATTGTGATATCAGCAGGTAAGATACAGAACATTTCCAGGGATTCCAAGGATCCCTCATGTTGTCATTTTGTGGCTATACTCCCCTCACCCCCACCCCTCCTTAGTCCCTGGTGATCACTAATCTGGCAAATCTTTGTCAGATACATAGTTTGCACATATTTTCTCCCAGTCTGTAGTTTCATTTTCATTTTCATTTTCTTTTCTTTCTTTCTTTCTTTCTTTTTTTTTTTTTTTT